TTGGTTGTTTGGGTTTATTTTTTTTTTTTTTTAAAAAAAAAAAAAAAAAAAATCCGGTGATCATTTACGAACGAAAAAAAAAAACAAACAAAAAAAAGTCAATTGACTGATCAATCAATGGATTAAACATATCTGATAATCATCACTATATGGTCGATAGTTTTGAATTATTATTTTTGTATATAAAATCTATCATTAAATTGGTGGAGAGAAAGGGGTAAGTATTTTCTTTCTTTTTTTTATCGATTATTATGTTTCCTACATAGGCACATTAATTTTTATAGATTATCATCATTATTGTTGTGGTTATTGTTGTTGATTATTGGACAATAATTTAATCTTTTTCTTTTCATTTTCATGTATCTTAATATAGTTGATTAAATAATTGGAAAATTTTTTTGCCAATTTTAATGGTATTTTTATATCGATCATTTCATCATCATCATCATCATTGTCATCATCATTATCAACATCTTGATTTGTATTGATTTTTGTTGAATTTTCATCAATTCTTATGTCTTCATTTCTATAATTATCATCGATTATAATTACATTATTTTTTGTTAAATCATTATTATCATTTTTGATTGGTGAAATATTTGAAAAACTATCTAAATATTTTCTCATTTCATCAAGATCTTCTTGTGAACTAGTTGTTTCTGGTTGTTTTGGTTGAAATTCATTTTGTGCACATGCTTCCAATAAAGCCAATTCATTCGAATCAATTATTTCATCATTACTATTATCATTATTATCTGCATTTGTTTCATTCAATGATGATGATGATGACGATGTCAATGACAATTTTTTCTGATCATCATTATCCAAGGATAATGTTATTGTTGTTGTTGATGTAATCTTTTCATTACTATCATTACTATTGGAAGAAGTGGAATCTTTATCCTTTTCAACAACAAAAAAAATGAAAAAATGAATAATGTTAACAAATTAATTTGAAATCATCATTGAAATTGAAAAAAAAGTAAATCTAAATAATAATTACCTCAAAATTTTGTTGTTGATTATTATCAAATTTAGTTGTTGTAAAATAAAAATCTTCATCATCCGATTCATCATAATTATCATCATCATTATTATTGTCATCGTTTTCATGATTATTAATCCAATCGGTTTTTGAATCAAAATTCGTTTGTATTGTTGAACAATTTTTCGATAAAGAATTGAGCATATTTTGTAAATAATCATCATTTGATGATGATTGTTGTCCAGAATATTCACCAATATCATCATTATATTCTAATGTTGCTTTTTGATGTTGCAATTTTCGACGTTTTGATGTTCCATTATTGTTAGTATCATTACTATTTTGTTTATTTAAGATGGAATTGGATGTCAAATCAACTTTTACACTATCAATATTTGAATGGTGTGATGTTTTTTCCATATCTTTATCCTGATCCACGATGAATGATTGATTATTATCATCATCAATAATTGATTCGATTGAAAATGCTGATAAATCAGATCTAGATCGTTTAACACCGATCGTTGGTTGTTGTTGTTTTCCAGCATTTGTTGAATTCGATGATAAAAGTATAGACGATGAACGATCAAATACTAATTCATTGCTTACAACTGGTTCGGAAAATATTACACGTTTCTTTTTGGCCGTTAATGGTGAATTTTCTGTTTGATATGAAAAAAATGTTCAAAAAAAACAACGATTAACAATTTTATCATCCAGCAACAATCCATGATTTCAAGATCTAACAATTTTTAATGCAAACTTTTATAAACTTACCATTACTTGGTGTACGTAATATGGATTTCTTTGGTAAAACAACCAAATTATCATCATCGGCTTTAACAATATTCGATGAATCATCTTCATTATTAATTTTAGCTGGTGATAATTCTTTTGTTACATTTAAAGATTCTAAAGATTTATTGAAATTTTCTTTGGCTGCCGTCAACATTAATGATGCACGTTGTGTACCAGCGACATTAGCAGTTGTTGTTGGTGATGAATTACTATTCTTTATTGTTGATAATAATTTTGAATCATTTTTATCCATCGATGGTGATGTTCCTATTGTTAATGAATTCGATACAGCACGTAACATTGCCATCGATCTTGATAGAAAAGTTAATGATGATGATGATGATTTTTTCGATGGTGATGATGTAATGGAATAATCAATTGGTTCATATTGTAATAAAGTTGTTGTCGAAGATTCTTGTGAAGATTCATCGATCGTACAAGATGACGATGATGATGATCCATCTGATGGTTGTTGTTTTTGATCCGGTAATAAAGTTTCTTTAACCGAAACATAATCAGATTTATCCATAGAAGAATCTGAAATGATTATTACATCATCATTCATTTGGTTATCAATTTTTTCTGTTGACTGCACAGAATCAGATTCTATCGAATTGGATTTTTGTTGTTGCGGTTGTAGTATTGAAGAATTTTCCAATAATGATGATGATTGATGTTTTGATACATCCAAATTATCATTTGTTTTGATATCTTCATCAGATTTTTGTTGTTGATTATTATCATCTATTGAAATCGATTCATTATTCGATTTGAATAGTTTAGGTTTGACCCATGTTGTAATTGAATCTACGCTTTCATCATCATCATCATCGGTATCAATAGAAATCTCTGCTAATTCAATCAATTCGGTTTGTATTTTTGTTAATGATAATGTTTCTTTTTCTTTTGCAGAAATTTCTGGTTCTATAATTAATGGTACAACTTCTATATCCGAACTATTATTCGATTGTTCATTGGAAACATCTTCAATCATTATATTTGATGATTTCATTGATAAAATTTTATTATCATCATCATTTGTATTTGGTGAATCAACATATTGTATCCAACCATGATTATCATTTGATTCAAATTTTAAATGTTGTTCATCCTGATCTTTGATCATTATTTCTTCTTCAGTATTTTTATCCATTGAATTTGTATCATTCATATATGAATAAACCAATTCAATCGATTCATTTGATGTTGATGATGAATCATCTTCGATTATGGTGTTTGTTTCTTCATCAATAATTACAACATCTGGAACTGATGATTGTTGTTGTTGTCGATCGGAATGATTTTTTTCATCTAATTTTGTTTGTAAAATATTTTCACATGACGATGATGGTTGATTTTGTTTAGGAATTTGAATAGATTTTATATTGAAATTATCATCATTATTAGCATTATGTTCATCACAATCGATTCGAGATTTTTTACTAATTGGTTCTTCTATGTCTGCAGTTGTTTTATTATAATTATCGGTATCATCATCATCATGTTCTTCGGCCACTGGTGAAAGAATAAGTTTTTTACGTTTTGGTGAAATTTTCGATTTATGAAATATTGTATTCAACGAATTATTTGATTTTGATAATGTTGATGATGAAATATCAAAATAAAATTCATTCGAAACAACTGGTTCAGTAAATAAAACCATTTTTTTCTTTTTTATAGCTGATGTTTCATTCGGTGATTTAAGTATTGATTTTGATGAAATCATTGATTTTGTTGGTGTTTGTTGTTCCAATGAATCATTATTATTATTATTATTATTATTATTAGAAGAAGATGATAAAATAGTATCAATTGATTTCACTGCTGAAGTTGTATTAGACTTTAATTGATTTTGTTGTAAGGCTTTTAATAATGCTGATCCACGACTATAAGATGATGACGATGATGATGGTGATAATGATTGTGATCGTTCCAATATTTGTGGTGACATTTTTTTCGTATTCCTTATACCAAGATTTTGATTCAAATCAGTAGATGATTCTTCAATCGAACATAATTTTGTTGATGATGAATCATTTTGTGAGGCAGCTTTTAATATGGCTAATGCACGTGCTGAACCACCAAGCCAATATGATGATGATGATGAATTTGATTTTACTTGATCTTTATTATTATTATTTATTTTCGGTGATGATAATGTAGAATTTATCACAGAATATTTATTGATGCAACTTTTTTTATTATTATCAATAGTAATTTCTTCAACATCGGCTGATTCTTTATCATCCAAAACAGACTTGGATTTCATTTCAGTATCGACAAAATTATTATCATCATCATCAACAACATTATCATCGTCATCGAAATTTAAACCAGATAAATTTGTTGATGATTTTAACATTTCATTCGTATTTAATCGTGATGATAATCTGAAATTGAAAGCAAAAAAAGAAAAATTTAAGTATCAAAACAATCAAAAATAAAATACAAATTAAAACTTACTTATTCAATATTGGACTTGTAATTAGATCATCAATATTTTTCGATGTTTTATTCTCTTGATTCATATTTGTAGAATTATTTTTTGTATTTTTTCCCATAACGATAATCAAATCATCATCATTATCATCAGCCATATGATCACCATTACCATTATTGTTTTTTATCATTTGTATTGAATTATTTTCCTCGTCATTATTTTTGTTATTGTTTAAAAATTTTCTGGTCATTGACATTTGGTCATTATTGTCACCGTTATTATCATTATTATTATTATCATTGTTGGTCAATTCGGTAGACAAAGAACAAGTTGATGATGATGATGAAGATGAAGACGATATTGTTACAGCTGCCGTTTTTGTTGTTGTTGTTGTTGCTATTGTAGGTGATGACGACAACGCCACCACCGAAAAAGAGTTAAAAGATCGCCGACGACGACAATTTATTTGTTGTTGTTGTTCAACATTATTATCATTATCAACAAAGCCGGTTTCTTTATTCAAATTATTATCATCATTACATGGTAAAGGAGTTACCGAAAATTTCATCGATGATGATGATGATGGATGAATGATCAGCTGTGTAGCTCGAATATTATTTTGCTGTCTTTGTTGTATGTTGTTGCTGTTATTGCTTATTACATTCATCATTATACTAGCAGTTTTTGTCGTTATTGTCGTCTGTTGTAAAGAATTTCTTTCATTATTCATATCATCATTATTATTTTTAATGTTTTCTGTTGTTTGTTGTTGAATAATTTTTTCATTATCATCATCATATTTACATTTAGAATCATTATTATTATTATTTGAATTCAATGATGAATACATTTCAAATGATTCTTTCATTTTTATTGCTTGTCTTCGGGTCATGATATTTGTCGTTGTTGATTTTGATGATGCTGAATTCATCATTTCCATTGTAATCATGATCAATGTCTTTTGTTTTCTTCTTCTGTTTGCAAAATAAGGGTAAAATTATTACAAATCATTCGATTCGATGATGATGATAAACACAATTTTTTTAGAATGATACACACAGAGAAGGAAAGGAAAAAAACTCAAAGAAAACATAGAAAATTTTTGCTTGAAACATTTGAAAACAAAACAAAAAATTCAAATAAACACAACATTTACAATTTTTTCTTTTCATAGAATTCTTTTTGTATTCATTGTCACTTCTAGAATATTCTACTTTCTCTCTCTCTCTCTTTTTATTGTAGAATTCTTGTCATTTTGATGACTTGAACACAAAGACCGACGACAATTGATGATGATGATGAAAAAAACCAAACATAACATACTACGACGACTCTTGACATTTATCCGTTTTTCTTTATCGATTTGTACAATGCCGAAAGACACACACACACAAACACACATAGAGAAAGAAAGAATTTGTTTTTAAATACCAGAATCAAGAAAAGCACGGGAATATAGTTGGTATTTTTTTTCGGGGTGGCTATATGATCATATTACAGCCGCTGCCGTCATTGCATGGACCTGAATCCGGTTCACACACACAAACACATAGAAAATCCAACAACAAAAAAACATTCAAAATGCCATAAACGAAAACAACAACAAAAATCAGAAATTTGCATTCAAATTCTTGGATCTTTTTTCTTTTTATATTTTTTCATCGATATTCATTGAGAATTTTCATTGAAAACAAAAACAACAACAAGATGATGATGCAATTCGGTCTCAAAAACGTTCGAATTCGAATCACACTACACACACAGAGAGAGAATGATCGATTGGAAATTCTTTTACCTTGATGAATTTTTTTTTGAAGAAAAAACAAAAACAAAAAACAAATCGATATAATCAAATGATTTGTTTGTTTGTTTGGTTATGTTATTGTTGTTGTTGCTGTTGTTTTTGGCGCATTGAATACCGCCAAAAAAACAAAAAAGAAAAAAAAAGTGATGAAAAAAAAACGCGGACTTTGCAAAAGGTTTGGAACTGTGCTGCGCAACTGCGCAATTTTTTCCAAAGAACGCCATCTTTTAGTATCTTCTTTCACTGATCAACAAGTGTTCGAATTTTAAAGCAAAAAAATTTATTTTGTAAATTTTTTATTTTTTGTAATTTTCAATTAAATTCGTTGTTTATTTCGATTATTACGAAAAATTTTTGGACGAATAAATTTTGGTTGTAATCGTTGTTGTTGTTGTTGTTTGGTTTTTTGTTTAAAATCATCAATCGTTGTTATTGTTGTATTACCATTCGATGATAAATCATCAAAATCAATAATCAAATCAAATTGATTATAAATATTTGTAAAAAATTTTGGATGACCAATCAATAACCGAAGAAAATTTATAACAATTTGTGCTGTTTGAAATTCATCCAAATTTGATGATGATTTTGTTATAATTTCTATTGTTAAATAGGAAATATTTAAACGTTTAAGATTATAACCAAATGCTGTTGTTTGATTCGTTGTGGTGTGATTATCAAAATTAATGGTACGATTATTTGAATTATTTGAATTATTACTAATGTTATTGCTAATGTTTTTTGTTGTTCGTTTTTTCATTAAACCATTAGAATCGGTTGCAAATAAACAATAATCATTTTGATCAAAAATTTTCATTGTTTTCAATAAACCACCAGCTAAAAATTTAAGTTTTAGAAAAAATTTTTCATCAATTTCATCAATTAATCTAGTTTTTGTCATCATACGATTATTATTATCGGAATTTTCTAATAAACAAAATTGATGACAATTTACTGTATTATCATCATCATCATCATCGTCGTCGTCTTCGTCATCTTCATCTTCAGCATCTTGATCACGACATTTATTTTGATGATGATTTTTGGCTTGATTTTCAAATCCTCTAAACAATCGATCCAAATATTGATCATGGATATCGTTGAATTTTTCCAAATTATCATCATCATCAAAATCACCACTATTTGGTATTAAATCATTCGTAGTATTTTTCAATATCAAATTATTATCATTATAATCCATAAAAAAATTCAATGAAAACAAACCATAACGTATCAATAGTAATTCATTAAATTGTTTACGATATATAATCCATTCAATTTGATTGGTTTGTTCATATAAATGTAGTAAAAATTTTTGAAATAATTTAAATATTATCCATTGTGGTTGTTTTGATTCACTTTTCGGATAATAATGATGATGATAATAATGAAGATTATTGTGGACAACATCATTGCCGTTGTTATTGTTATTTTCATAATCGATAATTATTTTTTCAATTTTTTCCCTTATCAATTTCGTAATTATCATCTGTTCGGACATTATTAATGATTCATCATCATCATCATTCCAACGATTCAATTCATTATTATAAATTCGTAACATTTGTGTTTGTGTTCGTTTCATCGATGATGATGATGATGATTGATTAAATATTATTCGATTCATACGATCAATCCATTTCATTATTAAATTCATTACGTTTGTCAATGTTGATTTATCCGATAAATTTATTGATGGTAATGGTGATTCGAATGAATCTTTTACCAATGATAATTCATTTTGTTGATTATTATTATCTTCAATATAATTTGCTAAACGTATCATTTCATTTGGTACCATAAATGGTAAACCTAATAATGATTTACCACGATATTGATATTGTATTTTATTACGATTTTGATAACAAATTGTATACCATGATGATATTAATAATAATCGTATTCGTTCAGCTTGTTCATCATCATCTTTTTTTATTTGGCTACGATTAATCAATTGATGATATTGTGATTCAAATTTATTTTGAAAATAACGAAATAATTGATCAAATATAAATGGTGATACATCACTTTTATCTTCATAAACATTACTCATTAATGCTGATTCTGATTCAATTAACATCATTTCCATTGTTTCAATTAATTTATGATGATATTCTAAATATGATTCATTTGCTTCTTGTTCATATTCATTCCAACCTTGAAGTATTAATCTTTCATCTGGACATTCATTATGATTTTTATGTGTTTGTTGATTATCATCCCAAACACGTATCATAACTTCAATTAATAAACAATGACGATAAAATTGTCCTAATATTTTACCGGATAAATAACTTTTACAATGGCTACGTTTTTCCATAAAATCTGGTCGTATCCATTTAGAATCTGGTTGATATTTTCTGTTAAACAAACAAAAAAAAATTATTCAAAATCAATTCAGTGAAATGATAAAGTCACTTACTTTTCCAATTGTGAATTGATACCATTTTTTTGAAAATCTAATGATATACTATATTTACGTGCCAATTCATCACATTCAATTGAACGTAAACCTTTTGGATGAAAATCCGAATACATCAGATGACAATTAGCAACTTGTCCAATATTATTTTCCAATAAATAATCACAATAAAATGTAACAATATCATCCAAATTAATATCATGATTTAATTCATCAGGTGTATGATTAATAAAATCCATTGGACGATAATTCGTACCGGGAAATATTAGTTCAGTTTCCCAAAATATTGCATATTCATCACCATCCAAATCTGAACCACCCATTTCATCGGTATGTGGACGTGGTCCTTTAGCCGGGAATACCAGACAATCTTTGATATGCACCAAAGATGGTACATTAACAGCACGAAATTTTCTAACATCACCCAATGATAAACAAGGAAATTTTGTTACCATTACTTCTTGATTTTCTAAAATAATCGTACGACCAGGAATTGGATTACCATTCGTATCCAATATTGAATATTGAAAAAATATTTCACCACAATTTAATTGATGTGTTTCATCGATAACACCGAATGCCATACGACCATTTGTTTCAGGTACAGCAATTCTTGCTTTACATTTCAATTCATTTAACCGGTAAAATAAAAGATATTTAAGTATACGTCGTAAAAATGGTTCACGTAAGAATGAAAATCCAGCATGAAATAAACGTTGATATGGTAGATTTGAATTACGATAAACACTAACAAGATTAAATGCATCTTTATCAAATAATAATGCTTTCATTATTAGTCGTGTACTGGCTGTAAATATTTCATAAAATACTGATGCAGGTACCCATTGTTGATCAAGTATATTAATCAATGGACGATTTAACCATACTGAACGTGGTGCAGAAAATTTCAATATACCAAGACAATCATCATCCGATTCATATTTAATCATTGAATCACGAAATAATATAACATCTTTACCTTCACGATTAGCTGTTGGATAACAGACTAACATTCCTTTACAACCACCATGACGAATTTGATATGCTGATGGTAGATAACCTTTTGGTAAACGTAATAATGGTATTATTTTCGATGCAATATTATTCGACATAATACCGATACCGTCGGAAAAACAAAATTCATTATCGGCCGTTTTTAGATCATCCATTTTACATACTTTAGCTGTTTCACCATAATGATAATAAGCAATTGCCTGTGAAAATACTAAACCAAAACGTGCAATATATTTTGCAACTTTACGTTTAAAATTTGATAAATTTCCAACTAATGCCCGGATTGATTGTGCTGTACGTTGTTGATCATCACAAGCATAAAAAACAATACCATTTTCACGCATTTGTGATGATGATGAACCAAGAAATTGATAAAAACGATTACCAACACGAATACCGGATAATAATCTTGGTTTAATTGATGCTTTTATAAAATTTGTATCACTAAATGTACCATTAAGTTTACGATTATTATCTTCAGCTAATGTTAATCGTAAGGCAAAATCTAAATTAGCAATATTACTAAAACGTGATCGTAATAATGGCATTGGTCGTCCAAATTCTAAACGTGTTGGTGTCATTGTAGCCGATCTCATCATAACATGATCATCATTTGTTGATGTAGATGATGATAATGATTGATTAATTAATCTTGAATCATTATTTTTTCTTATCATTTCAAATCTTTGCCTACAGGATTGTATAATTTTTTCAAATTCCCATTTTAAATCAATAATCATATTCATTTTATATTTAGCATCTAATGTATAAAGACATTCTTCAATCATTATTGGATCAATATTATCATTTAATAATTGTTCAATTTTTTCGAATATAATCATTGTTTCATTTTTCGATAATAATGAATCAATAATTTTATATGATTTTGAAAATAATACACGACATGCATAAAGTATTGCATAATTTTTATCAGCAAAATGTTTATCAATCATTTTTGTTAATGTATTCATTGAATATTTTGTATTGATTGAATCAATATTGATCGATCGGATGATTTGTTGTTGTCCATTACTATTACCATTATTATCATTACTATTACTATTGCCACCACGTTGACCACCACCACCACAAGCAATTATTAAAAATGTAAAATTACGATTTAAATCTTTACAAATATAACCTAAACGTATTAAATCATTAATCATATTATTTTTAGTCATTATTAATGATCCTTTTAATAATTGTATACGATATGAACAAGCATAACCCATTAAATCTGGATCATAATTTTCATTTGTTATTGAATTTTTCTGGTGATTAGGATTATTGAAACTAGCAGTTGTTGTTGTTGTTCCAAGATTTCTAATTCGTTCCCAATTGTAACGAATTTTTGTCATTGATTGATTTTTAATCAAATTCTGATGATTGTTGATCATCAATGATGATGATGATGTTGGCGTGGGAATTGTTTTTGTACGAAATAAAAATGGTGCTGCATTCAATTCCAGATAAAATTGATCCATCAAAGATTCGATCATTATTAATTTGATTGATGAAAAACTTATTTCCAAACGATATCTATTATTAGGGAGAGAAAAGGATGAAACCAAAAAACAATGAACATTATTATTATTTGTAAATAATTCAATTGGAAAAATTACAAAACTATAATTACAAAATATTCTTTTTGTTTAGATAAAAATAAAGTATAAGAATTTTTTTATAAAAATCCATTTCCATTCTTGGACAATTATGTATACTGTTTTGGTGATGATTATAATGTTGATGATTATAATTAAATTTTTGATTATCCATCATTGTTGACATAATTTGCAAACGATTTACAAATGCATTTACGTTTATCAATGAACCGATTGAAATACATTTCAGCCGACATTCAAATTGTTTTTCCATTCGATTATCATCAATTTTTTTATTTTGATGTTGTTGTTGTTGTTGAACAACATCTTGCCAAAGACGATACAATGAATTTAGCGAAAATTCAAAAAATATATTCAAATTTCCGTCCACTTCTTCACCACCATCGACATCATCGTGATGATCATTTGATTTTTGAATAAAATCGGTTAAAATTGATTTAAAAATTGAAAGAAAATTTTCATCCGATCCGTTAAGATAGAAATCGATATCGAATCTATTGGTTGTTTGACAGGAGGGGAGAAAATGAAATTTTAGAAAAATTAAGAAAAGGATTATCAGAGAAATGAAAAATAAACATTACTTGATGACAAAATCATTGTAAAAATGATGTTTATTAACAACATAAACAAAACGTTCATTTTGATTAGTTTCAATAAATCTTTTACGTATAAATTTTATTAAATATTTTAATTCTTTATCAACATTTTGTTCATTATAACAACGATTATGATCTAATGATGTTATAATATTACGTAATTTTGTTATAGTTATTGTAAATGGTTTTGATAATGACGATGTTGTCGATGTTGATTCACAATCAAAATCTTTTTCAGCGGAAATATCGTTCATTTTGTTACCATTCAATGAACAAAACAGAAACACAAAAAACAAAAAAACAAAAAACTGAATTACAAATTGAAAATTTTTCTCGAACAAAATTGTAAATGAAAAATTTCAATTTATAAATTTATTGTAAGCAAGAAAGGAGAACAAGGAGAAAAAAAAACTTCGATATTTTCTAATTAAAAAATTCGAAACTTAAATTCAATTTCATTGTTTTGAATTCAATCAACATCAGCTAAACAACTGGATAACTTGGCCGTGTTGCAATACCACATTGATTATTTTTATTACGTGACATTAATACATAACCATTGATACCCCAATCAGTACCCCATGAATTTTTAACTTTCCAATATTGTTTTCCATTTAATTGTCCATAACCAACAGCCGTAACTGCATGACATAAATCTTTAAAGGCGGATGAACATTGTTCATTATCATAAACACCTGATTGATAGAACATAAAATATAATGAATCAGCATCGATTGCAACTGATATTGGTCCAATTTTTGCAACAGCCGATTGTAATGCATGTTCATCACCATATCGAACATTAACATAGCTATGTATTGTTGCACCGATTGTTTTATTCATTTGTGATTGACGACATTTATCATCAATACCTTCATATGGATATGATTTTCCCCCAACTATATAGTACTCATTGAATTCTTTATCTTTTTCAATATTGTTGACCATTCATAATATGTACCATAATAAACAATAATTATCAATGAAAAATAGAAATTTGAATTTATTGTAATTAAAAAAAACAAACAGATATTTTAATTGAAAATTTTAAAATAATTAAATTTTATAAATGCATTGAATTTAATTGTTTTTATTTTGTTTTTTGCAAATCTAAACAACTGGATAACTTGCCATTGTAGCAATACCACATTGATTATTTTTATTACGTGACATAAATCCATAACCATTGATACCCCAATCTTTACCCCAGGAATTTTTAATTTTCCAATATTGTTTTCCATTTAATTCTCCATAACCGACTACTGTAACAGCATGAGTAAGATGAACGGGTGAACAATCTTCATTATCATAAATGCCGGATTTGTATTGATGAAAATGTCCAGATGAATCGATTGCAACAGATATTGGTCCAATTTTTGTTACAGCCGATTGTAATGCATGTTCATCGCCTCTTCGAATATCAACATAGCTATGAATTGTTGCACCGATTGTTTTATTTTTTTGTGATTGTCGACATTCCCTTGCAATGGCTTCATATGGATATGATTTTTCTGTATCAATACCATTATTTTTTATAACCATTTTGAATGCTTTATCCATATTTCCACCGTGACAACCATGATTACCTTCTGGCTTACTACAATCGATTATATTTTGCGCAGATAATTCGATCAATTTTCCTGTTTTTAATGCATGTTGACCTTCAATTGATGATACTGCACTAAATGCATAACATGAACCGCATGTATGTTGATTTTTAACACTGGTTACCACCCCTTTTTTAGTCCAATCAATTTCGGCTGGTAGCGATTCGACATCATTCATTGTATATTCATTATTAGATGGTGTTTTCACACGATCACCAAGATAACCAAGATGACTTGAACGAAATTCATCCTCAGTCATATCGGCAAATTGATTCACTGATAATTCATATGTTGAAAGACCTTTCGAAAATTTTTCCCGATTATGGTGATCAATCAAATCTAAATTTTT